GTTTTTTTGCTGTATTTAATTACAGACAAGCAAACAAACATACACTCTCAGAGTTTTAGTAGTATATAGATAGTTATCGTACGGTTATTTCTATAAATAATAGAGCAATAATAGAAATAATATGGACAAACTGATAAGAATTATAGTCTTTGAAAACGCTGTAGCGTTGTAAATGATAACTGAAAAACCATCATTAAATATAAAATACGTCTTTTACTCTGAGAATTTAAGTAAATAAAATGATGTAAAATTTCATATAATTTACTATGAACATAGTTTGTATAAGTTGTCTTTCGATTAAAATGTCATAATGTTTTCTATGCTTGATCATAAAAAGTTATCTTTTAAATATAATAATATTTTTATGTTTATCTCATGTGTCACTGCAAGTAACTTTTGTATCGTACTTTAGATAGTTGAAGATCTTATATTTACGAATATCCTTTCTTAAGCTGAAAATAATTTCTTACTTCCTGTTTAATTTTAGTTTCCTTTCATAAAATTTAGTAAGTAATTATTTAGATAATTGAAGTTAACGTGTATTGTAAAGAAACTGACACTTTAACTATATAACAAAATGATCCAGTCTAAGAATAGCTAGGTCCAATGTTCGGTCTGCGATATACCTCTCAGTTCCATGAGTGCTAAAAAAGTGATGGTCAGGGCAACTCTCCGGCAGGTGTTGTTGATTGGTCCCCCCATCTGGTTAGTAGTTCCAAAGGAGTGGACTTTGGGGTCTCCAACATTCCATGACAGTATACCTATAGTTGGATGAGTTAAATCCTAAAGCCATCAATTTAATGGCATCAGGATTTTCCCCTATGACAGTCTCCTACCACTTGCATAACAATTGTACGTTTATTCACTTTTGATCACTATATATGAATAAGAATATGATCATATTCCGTGGAATTGTACTTCAACAGCACCCCTTTAATCGATACAAAGAACTTCAATTGAAACTGTCTTCAGAATATCTCTCACTTAATCTGTTCACATGAATAGCTTTTTCGTAAAAGTAAAATGGTAACGACAAAAGCGCTAGAGAAACGTGTGACAGGTCACTTGTGTCTAATGTTTGTTGTGATTTGTACGCAGTTACCATGGCGATTACTATGACAAAATCAACTACTATATGGCCTGCCTTACGACAAGCATATCCGAGATGAACACATGTTTGAAATAATAATAAAAGGTTTTATTTATAGATAAACACCAAGTAAATTATCGTAATAGCAAAATTAAAGTTACGGTAGTAGAGTTATAACTTTTGGTTTTAAAGGCTGCTACTGCCTGTTTATAGTGTGGGACGATGTTTCAGATTCTAAACTGAGGCCTTCTTCGTCCTCTAGAAACAGGCAGGATCAGTCTATTAAAGTTACAACTCTACTACGTCTACATTGTCTAACATACCCTTGAAACATAAAGTTGCTATGGCAAAAAAAAAAGCAATAACTCTTTCTCACTTGGTAAATAATATCTGGAACGGAAGTACGGTGTCTTTATAGGCAAACATTTTTCACAATATATATATCGCGGTTTAAATATATTAACATTTCAAATAAGTAAAGTAGATTTGTTG